ATATATTTCATAGGTCTCGACCAATGAGTGAAATAATTATAAACAATCAAGTCCAAAGGCTCTACTCGGCCTATTTATATTACCCCTTGGATGGCTTTGAATTTTGGCCCATTTAGCCACTACACCAAAAATAGCCTTTTGCAACACACAAAAGGAAACATTTATTGATTAAATATTGCTAAATGTGTCTATCGCAACATTTTTATTAATGAATGTTGCCATTAGTTAACATGATTGAGATTTGACAATATTTTTTAAGTGCATATTGCTAATGTCACCTTTTTGCAACGTTTATTGAGTGTTGCGAAAAAATTCCACTTTTCGCAACGTTTATTAAATGTTACGAAAAAATATACTTTTCGCAACGTTTCTTAAACTTTGCAAAAACAAACACTTTTCGCAACGTTTATTAAAATGTTGTTAATATATCTTTTCGTAATGTTTAATAAACATTGTGAAAACTAGCTTCTTTTACAGTGTTTATTAAAACGTTACCAATATGAGATATGCTAACTTTTTACAACGTTTATTAAATGTTGCTAATAAGGACTTTTCGCAACATTTAATAAACGTTACGAACTTCTTTTTTTCCCCAAAACAAATATATACGGGCTCAAATGATAAACACACAAAATAATTCTAAATCATTCCTTCATCCTTCTCCGGCTCTTCCTCCCGTCTCAGCCTTCGCCTCTGCCATTCAACTTCGGGCTCTGACAGAGTCATATAAATGGACAAAAAACACTACACAGCCAGTCTTCTCCCCCATTCAATCTTCTCAATCCGGGATCTGTTGTGGGCCTTGCGGTTCTGCCTTGTTTTCCATCCATAGATGGCAGTAGGAAGACGCGGTAGCCGGCGACCTTTGATTCCACATTTCCTCCGGCGATTCAACCAAAGCACCTGCATAGCAGAAGAAGAACGTGAAACCCCTTAAAGCCTGCTCGTTTTTCGTAACTTTTTTATCTGTTACTTTGATTTGTGTACCGTTCTCATATTTTCTTTGAATTGCTGTCAAAACAAGTAATTTATTCCAATTTTAATCAATTTTAAATATATTAATTATGTGAAAACTTATTTACTTATAAGTGATCTTTCCGAACATGCTCTTTCTTTAAGATTGAATATCTAATTTTTATCTGGCATAATTATTGAGGCTCTCACTGAAAAGTTACAGTATACTAAGACGAGCAATATCCAAATTAATTGACTGCTTCCTCATCAACAATCTGACTGTGAAGATCACATCTGTTGTTGCTACACTGATATTTCTCAGCAATTGTAGTATGTGTTACTTACCATTCCAAGGAAATGGGTATTAGAGGAGTGAATCAACCCTCTCTCTCCTGGATGGGAAAATATTGTAAGGTATGGGAAAACAAAAGGAGGAACTGAAATAGAGAAGGAAGAAGAATCCAAAAGACTTTATTAGCATCGGATATATCGAATTAATGGCCAATACAAGAGAAAATTGTATTGGAAAAGGAAGAAGAACCAGAAGCTCTTGGTATCATATTGTTGTGAAGGAAATTTATGTATAAAATATGAATTTGTTGGTGGAACTTGGTAAATATTTGTTTCACTGTTTTGTTCACTTTCCATGTAATACTCAATGAGACTGTAAGTTTATTGTCTGCAATGATGTTGCTTTGTCTGATGGGTGTCACACTTTTTGGGTTTGTAAAATGTATGCCATGTGCAAGGGTCTAATGTGGATGTTGTCTTTGGGCAGTATGTTTGTTTGATTATTATGAAGTTATAAGGAAATTACGACCTGATTAAATTCTTTGGGCAGTATCTTTGTTTGATTATTACGTGCAAGGGTCTAACAATTTATGCTCTAGCATGAATTGTTATAAGGAAATTACGACCTGATTAAATTCTTTGGTTGAAACCAAAATTTGTGTGGTTTGCATGTGCAGGTGGAGGAATGGCAGCTACAGAGGGGTTAATGAAGTTGTTGTACACTGTGGTGGTGGTGGAGGATGATGCGGAGGAGGATTCACCATCGTTTTGGTACACGTGTTCCCAAAAGTGTTGACGCAGATCCTGAGAATAATCAACATGGTGATCTTTATGTTATATCATGGTTACTTGATTTGTCCCTTCGTCTCCAATGCCATTGTTTTTGTGCAATTTGTAGTTTGGATAGTTTATTGTAGTTTCGAGCTTTATAGAGGAGGCAACAAGAACTTTTTAATCCCTACTCCTTTTTAGTTAGGTGGTGTTGTATCACATTTTAATGTTCAAGTGTATTGATTCAAAAATTTGTAATGAAATTATCAATTTTTATGCAATTCCAAAATTTGTTCACAAAGTGTCATTTTAAATTTTGCAAGTCAATTTACATGAAGTGTAAAAAAAATATATGGCAACGGTCAAAAAACGTTGCAAAAACCAGTCTTTTGTAACGTTTAAGCAATGTTGCAAAATAGTCTTTTGCAACATCGGATAAATGTTGCAAAAGAAACATTGGATAAACGTTGCAAAGGACTGACTTTTGCAACGTTATTTAAACATTGCAAAAGACTGGCTTTTGCACCGTTTATTCAACGTTGCAAAAACTCTTCCCTTAGTGGCAACATCGACGTTGCAAAAGGTCTTTTTTGGTGTAGTGAGCTTTGTTTTTGGTCCAAATAAAAGTCTAACCTAACCCTAATCTTATATGTGTTTTACCCTAGCCATTTTGAGTGTGATTTGTGTGTTTTCAGAGGAGAAAACGTGTGCTTTTGTGGAGCAAAAAATTGGCCGCATTTGTGGTGTCAAAAACTGGTTACTTTCCTTGCCTTTTGTGGTCTCTTCATTGCCTCCTTCTTAGTGTTTTCTTCTTGCCTTTGTGGCTACAAATCATCACCGTTATCTTGTCCTTTTGTGGGTGAGATTGAGAAGCAACTGAGTTGAATATATTGGTTAAGTATTGGAGCCTTTTTAAATTGGTTGTTTGGTAGAGAAAGGTAACGTTAGACTGAGCCCAGAAAACACCATTTTGACGATCCTTTGAGCAAGCTTCCGCGTTATACTCCAATCCCAAAAAAATCCTTCCAATTCGCTGAGTGAGAAAATACTCACTAACCACTTATGGAAGCTTATTACATCCTTTTTTTAAATGATTTTGCTGATATAACTTTTCTTCTTCTTTATATTGTTATAGAACTAGAGCCAAATTGAAACAACAAAAATTCCTTTCTGTTTCAATTTTTATTAATCAATTGGGTGATCAATGAGACAAACATTGAAGTATTTTTCAACTAAGCCAGCATACACAAGGAGACTTATTTTATACTAAGACGAAAAAACACAAAAAATATGACCGAATGATAACTAAAGATAAAACATTGGCACTAGATCTCATATGCATTGCTTCATCGTACATGGACAAAGAGAGCTTCAGCCAACACAATCCTAGAATCTACATTCATGCCCACTTCTATTCCTAAGAGACCATTCTGCTCGAGGATGGAGGCTACTTTTAGGACATTGGTTGCACCGGTTTCTCCTCGTAAGTGTCCTCATTGCCATCATATATAGAACAAGAGTTGTAGAAATGTCTATAATTAAACACTACTGCTGAACTTGTATACACTAAGCTAAACAATTTAAATTAATACATTAAGCTAAATAATTTAAAATAAGTTTTCTTAGTAACCATAAAAACCTTTCTTGAGAACCAAAAAAAAAGAAAAAAAAAAAAAAAAAAAAAAAAAAAAAAAAAAACCTTTCTTCTGTAATTGGAAATTCAAGTTGTATTGCCTAAGATTAAACCGTGTAGGATTTACGTTTAAAGTTTTGCAAACTTCAAGCTACATTTACTTTCTTAAGAAAATCTTCACATTTCTACTAGAAAATAAGGAAATATTGGTGGACGATAAAGTCTCTAAAAGATGATTATTTCTTTTGGATTATTAGAAGAATGCAACTTTCATTTGTGGAAAAACTTCTAAAATTTCCACAACAAAAGATAAAGAAAAATCTCTGCATCCAATGGAATAATTTTTCTAGTTTTGTGGTCAAGCAAAGTTTGTTCTATTTATGGGAAAATTGGAGTCCATAATGGTGTAATTTTTCTAATTTTGTAGTCGAGCAAAGTTTGTTTTATTTATGAAAAAAATGGAGTATCATTATGGTGTGATGAGCACCACTCCCTTGCGATAACCAGATGTTCCAAAATTAACAATCCATTATGTTCTAATGTCCAAGTATGAATCAGATGCTAATTTCAATAACGGGAGCTAACATATTGATTAAACTTGAAAGTAAACTGAAGTTCAGTGAATTGATAGAAACCAATTAAAGAAGAGTGACCTAAAATAAACCCAATATTCTGTGTTTGTGGCTAATAATTTTACTAAGTGATTTGAGAAACATTTATTAACCCAACATGAGTTTTATTACATTTTTGTCATTTTAATGTTTTCTTTTTTAATTTTTTTTCTTTGTATTGTTAAAGAACTGGAACCAAATCGAAAGTCTTTTGTTACACAATTGGTTTATCAAGGATAGACAAACTTGATGTATTTTTCGAATTGATCCACCAAGCACGAGGAGACTTTATATTTACTAAAGAGGAAAAAAGCAAAAAGTTCGATTGAAACCGTACTAAATGACATACAAAGTAGAGAAAACTAACGATTCTAGTACTAGACTCATAATTAAAGATAAAACATCCGGCACTAGATTTCATATGCTTTGTTTCATCGTTCATGAACCAAGACAGCTTCAGTCAACACAATCCTAGAAGCTCCAAAATATTCCATCAAATTGATGTGTGGTGGCTGTTATGCAATTGCGTTTGTTATGTTGTCTAATAGTTTGATTATGGTAAAATTTAAATTGTTTGTTGAAATTTGGATATTGAAATTGAGTTGAAGAAGTTGGAACCTAATTTTTCTTCCTTTCTTTTTCTCCTTTTCTTTCTTCTTTTTCCGCTTTTTTCTTCTTTCCTGCCCGTTTTCTCATCTCTGTTACGGTATTCTGCTTCCTGTTTGTGTAAATGATAAGAAATGGGCAGCGAGTTGAATTGGGGATATGTGGTAACTTACTTGGCTCTTGGGGCACGGTTAGTGGTGCACTAAATGGGTTCAAATGGATTTAGTGGATGCCTCTCGTGGAATGATTTCTCCGGCTTGATAAGTCAAGAAAAGTTTGAACCTTTTTTTTTTTTCCGGAAAAAGTGGAGTCCATAATGGGATGATGAGCACCACTTGAGATAGAAGCCCATCCAGTTCTTAACCATAAATTACGTTTTCACTTACCTTGCAGGAAGCTTTTATTTCGTGTGTGCATATATATATATATGCATGCACACTTGTATCAAACTCCTCATTATAAG